ATTCAACTTAAGGACAGACCTTGGGAACAGAACTCGTTCTTAAACTGGGGACTACCTGTAAACCAAAAGACCAAAAGCTTGAAGCAGCTGCATTCTCACATGCTGAACCCACCCACCCACCACCTTTTAGCCTAGTCTTTTGCGCAGACAGAGTCAAGGTGGCTAGTTTATTGTTCATCAAGTCACCGAAACCTAGAAAATGAAATGAGGCAGAGTTAAGCATGGGGAAGGGTGTTGTGCAAGTAGAGCTAAAGAGAGTTGAAGGAGCGAAAGCTACAAATCCAGACTTTCAAGTGCTGTAGGGCTAGACCAGCCTCAGAACAGTTAGAGAGTTATTGTGCATCTTCTGTAACCCAATGCCGTCTAGATGTACTGGACTCCAATTCCAGTCAGCATAGCAAGGATTCAGAGAGTAATTGAGTTGTAGTCCATCAACATCTGGAAGGTTCAGGTTTCCAATTGGTTTAAAGCAGTGTTTTTCAACCTTGGCAACTTTAAGAAGTGTGGACTTCAACTCCCAGAATTCCCCAGCCAGCATGGCTAGCTGGGGAATTCTGGGAATTGAAGTCCACACCTCTTAAATTTGCCAAGGTTGAAAGACACCAGTTTAGAGGAAGTTCACTTTTCATTTACTGATTTCTTTCCCCAAATGATTTTTCCTGGAAGCCTCTGGTGCCCTTAATTTTAATAGGGAATCATATAGCCACATCTCAACTTCTCCCTTATGATGCAGGAGATTTTAATCCAGTTTTGAGTCTGCATGTCTTGAAGAATATATTTAGCACTACGTAACACTTTGGAAATAATTAAGAAAAGATCCTTCAAAATGCTTGGGAACACTCCAACACTCTTTTTCTGAATTCTTTCCAAAGCATTGCACAGCAGTTGTTATTATTCACATATGGTACAAAGGGCAGAATTTTAAATCCTGTATAGGTTATCTTGCAAAAATAACCTATTAAGTAATGCACGGAGGAGGGGTTCTAAAATCGAATGACGTCTTGATCAATCAATGATTATTTTTATTTATTTAAGAGATACAAGACTGTTTAAAATCAAACATTAGCAAACAAATCTGTACCCTAAATGTCAATTTTAAATAGCAATAGCTTGACGATATAGGGTGCAACTAAGATTACTCATACTGGAAGCAGGTGGATAGAAATAAATGGAAACAGATTTTGTCCTGATTTACTTCAGCTTCACTAATTTCAGTGGGTCTAAGGGTGGATCTAATCAATTATTAACCACACAGAGCTGAAAATTGGTCTGCAGCAGCTATAGAGCAGGCATGATCAACCTTTTTGCAAGCTCATTCCTCCCCTGAAGATTTCCACATGTGCATGCATCAGAATCTATTTGCGCTTCTGATTTCAAGATATAACATTGGGTTGAGTGGGTTGTAATTCTTTCTCATCCAAAAGGAGTGGGTACAGTAAGAGATGCAGATAACGTAACACCAATGAGTCCTCCGATAAAGCAGCTGCAATGTTGTAATTGCCCGAAAACGCTACAACCACAGGATGCTTTGGTTAGCACAAAAGATAGCACAAGACAGCAGCGACAGAGACAATAAGCTATTCCAGCCTCCTACATCACATACTACACTTCTGGGTTATCCAGGGCCTGTAAAAACATCTGCCATGTTAAGGTGTGTTGGGAAGAGATCGCTGAAATATTGAAAGCCACTGCCCATGGGTGGGGATGACACTGAGCACTAAGAGTGTGACTCAGTAGAAAGCAGTTTCCTATGTTCTTAGAATACCTATTTGTGTTCACTCTATGCAAATATTCTGAGAAGTTGCTTGGAAAACCCCACTCTGGGACAGGAAGCCAATACCCCCCTCCCAGCCCCAGTCTTGTTATTAAATATGCTGCATGAAGATGGGGGAAAGGTGTGCTAAAAATCACTGGTTGTGAATCCACACAGGCACTCTTGGAAGAAAGAAGCAGAACCTCTTCCATGCCTTAGGCCAGTGTTTCTCAACCTTAGTAACCTTAAGATGCCTGGACTTCAACTCCCAGAATTCCCCAGCCAGCGTGCTGGCTAGGGAATTCTGGGAGTTGAAGTCCAGCCATCTTAAAGTTGCCAGGTTGAGAAACACTGTCTGAGGCAGTCTTACATAGCAGATTTCAGGTATCTAGTTCGGCCTTCCCGCTACAGATATGTCAAACCTATAACTCTCTTCTTCAAATTTACATTAGAAATGCAGAAAACATGACATGAATCCTCACTGGAAGCTGATAGACTGAAAATAATTTTGCAGGAATTTATTCATGAGGATCAATGTGGGTTTTTACCTGAAAGACAGTTAAAGGACAATGTTAC